ACCCCCAGAGAGGCCGACCGCAGGAGAGACTAAGCTGTCACCTGTCTGGCCAGGAGAGAAACACTTTGCATCCAGTTTGCATATAGGTGCAGAGTCTGGGCTATCCCTGTGTGCCCCCCCCATAATGCCTTGTGCTCCCCAGGGGACGACATCAGCTCTCTTCAGCAGGAAATTACCATCCTTCGTGAATGCCGCCACCCCAATGTCGTGGCCTACATTGGCAGCTACCTCAGGTGAGGTTGTTTACCCTCATACTCCAGACTGCGCTCGTGTGCCCTGCTGTGTGCCAATCCCAGCGCTTTGTCTCCCCAGGAACGACCGCTTATGGATCTGTATGGAGTTCTGTGGAGGGGGGTCGCTGCAGGAGATTTACCACGGTGAGAACCAGGCTCCTTGGGACATGGCCTTCCCCTATCCCAACATAGGAGGGCATCCTCCAGGCTGAACTTGAGCTCCTCTCTGCTTCTGACTGGCTGTGTGACCTTGAGAGAAATGCTGTCCTTCTCTGGGCTCAATATCCCAGCCTGATGTGGCTAACATTACTTTGCTGTAAGGGTGCCTGCTGCTTCCCACTATGCAGGGTGGCTAGAGAGGGTCAACATATCCCTCAGGCTCTCTCTCCAGCCCTCATGCCCTGTCCATTTCAGCCACTGGGCCCCTGGAAGAACGGCAGATAGCCTATGTTTGCCGGGAGGCGCTGAAGGTACTGGACTCATAGGCGGCACCCACTTTGGAATCCTCAGGAGTGTGGCTCTAACCCAACTGGCCAGTGGGGGAGTGGGGCCTTGAGATGGGCTGTCCCAGGGGCTGTGGGTCCTAAGGGGGAGGGGGCCCCAGTTCTGTTGCCGGAAGCAGCCTATTTCCCTCTTGGCTCAGGCACTTCCTGTTTGGGGAGAGGGGAGGAGGAAGCGGCTTGGGTGGGGGGCCCCAGTCCTGAGGAGGGGCTCAGGAAAGATGGTTAGTGCTAAGTTGCTGTCCTCAAAGACTCCTCTTTGTCCCCAGGGGCTCCACCATCTGCATTCTCAGGGGAAAATTCACCGAGACATCAAGGTAGGGTCAGCCCTGGGCATGGCTCAAGCGAGGAGGAAGCTGCCAGGCACCTGACAGGCTCCTTTCTGTGTCTCCCCCCCAGGGTGCCAACCTTCTGCTCACTCTGCAGGGTGATGTCAAGCTGGGTCAGTACTGGGGGTGCCACGTGGGTGAGGTTTAGCAGGGACTCAGAGACCATAGAATTAAGTGCTGTGGTTCCTAGTCACTTTAGTGCTCACTTGAGACTCAGTTTCCCCACTTGGGAGATGTAGCAATATTGCCTGTCTGCCCAAAGTTGGCTGACGTTAGGTTAGGAGGGACCTGACATGAGATCAGATTTCAGGGATAGAAGGTTTGTGACTTCTCTCAGAAGAGAGGGCTGGCCTTGCTTGGGAGGGTTTTGTGGCTGGACCCAAGTCCTGCCCTAGTATAGCCTGGGCCCTGGGATGGGAAGTAGGTGAGGCCCTGGGGCTGGCAAGGGTCTCTTCTCCCTGCAGCGGACTTTGGGGTATCAGGTGAGCTGACAGCATCTGTGGCCAAGAGGCGATCTTTCATTGGCACTCCGTACTGGTAAGATGGTGCCCTGGCAATAGGGGTAGGGGCCACAAGGAGGGCACCTGGCCATCCCATCTGTGACCCTGACTTTAGGATGGCGCCAGAAGTTGCTGCTGTGGAACGCAAAGGTGGCTACAATGAGCTATGTGACGTTTGGGCCCTGGGCATCACTGCCATTGAGCTGGGCGAGCTACAGCCACCGCTGTTCCACCTGCACCCCATGAGGTCAGCCTAACACATGCCCCTTACCTGACCCTTGCCCTGCTGACCCTTGACTCATGACCTCATATCCTTCCCAGGGCCTTGATGCTCATGTCGAAAAGCAGCTTCCAGCCACCCAAGCTGAGAGACAAGACACGTTGGTGAGGACTCACCCACAACTGAGATACCCTTTTCCAGCCAAGGCCCATGGGATGGAAGCTCTTACCAAGCAAGGGTCGAGCTTGGTTCCTACCCTAGGCCCAGGACTTAATATGGACAGGAGGGAAGGGCTGGTGGCTTGTGATGGAGGCATTGCTATGGTGCAACAGCATCACTGTCCCAGCTGTTCCTTCCTTGGTGGCCAGCTGGGGCAATTTGACAGGATGCTTCTATGCAGAGCTTAACCTGGGTCTGGGTGGGTGGGGCTTTTGTGCCCACTAGGACCCAGAATTTTCACCACTTCCTCAAGCTGGCTCTAACCAAGAACCCCAAGAAGAGGCCCAGGGGGGGGGGGGGGGGGGGGGGGGGGAGGTGTCTTGTTGAACTTGAGGCTCAAAAAGAAGACCTGGAAGATAGGGGCCAACTTGATCAACCCTTGCTCCTCCAGCACCCATTCACAACCCAGCAGCTCCCTCGGGCCCTCCTTACCCAACTCCTCGACAAGGCCAGCGACCCCCATCTGGGAACCCTCTCCCCTGAAGACTGTGAACTGGAGGTAAAGCAAAGACTGGGAACTGGGTCAGCCCCACCTGGTTGGAAGGGGCCTGCAAGTGATGTAAATCAGAATCTCTTTGACTTGTGGAATTCCAGCACAGAGTGTCTCTCTAATCAAGCCTACCTGCCATGAATCGTTTGAGTGGGTCTTGCCTCACTCCACGCCCTCAGGTCCAAGCCAGCCATGACTATGACTAAGCTATCTTCCTTTCTATGTGGCCTTTGGCAAATTTCTTGACTTTTCTGTGCCAATTTTCCCATCTATGAAATGAGGGCTGTTTTATATCATAGTAACCTTAGAGGGTTGTCATGAAAACAGAACGCCCAATTGAAGTCAAGACCTGGAAAAATTCCTGGCCAGGGGTGAGTACTGGGTGCAAGTCTGCTGTGTGTTCTTTCTTAGACCCAGGATATGTTTCCAGATACCATCCATTCCCGGGGCCATCATGGTCCGGCTGAGAGGACCCCCTCTGAGATCCAGTGTAAGTCTTCTAACATGGCTAAATGCAGCCATGGATCTGGTGTTATTTTGGGGGGGTCCATTGTGAGACTTTGACCCCCTCCTAACCCAATACTGTGAACCCCTAGTTCACCAAGTAAAATTTGGCGCCCCTCGCCGGAAGGAGACAGATCCTCTCAATGAACCGGTGAGGCATTCATTCACTGGCTGGCTGGGGATAGGGGGGTTGGGGGGTGGAGGGGTAGAGGGGTGTCAGGTATGCAGATGCAGGTGGGATGTCCCAAATCAAGGCCAGTCTGAAGCAGGGGTTGCTGTGTCATTTGGAGTCTTGGACTAGAGGCTCCTCCCAGGCCGTTTTCTTCTAGACAGCACTGAAAACTGGAAGACTGGCCACCCCGTTCTAAAACCTAGGTTTCATAGGACTGAGGGCCCCCACTTAAGCATATTTCTCAATCTGCCTATCACAGGATCATGTCACCCCATCTGCTTTTACTCTCCAATCCACAATGTTCCTCTCTGCCCTGCTGTCCTGCTGTCTTCCTTACGGTCTCTCCCTCTGTCTTGTCTCTCTTACCTTTTTCATTTTGTCTTTTGTAAGTCATTTGTCTGTTGGCAGAATATTCTCCATCTGTCTGTCTGTCTGGTCTCTCCTGCTGTCTTTCTCTTTGTTAATGTTGAGACAGGGTCTCTATCTAACTTAATCTAGCTGGTCTTGAACTCTCCCTGTAGTCTAGGCAGGCCTTGAATTTCAGATCATTCCTCACTATTCCCTTCCATCTTTTGATACCTTCTCTTTTTCTTCACCTCTCTCCTGATGTCTTTGCCTTGGTTTCCTCCAGTGGGAGGAGGAATGGACGCTGCTGGGAAAAGAGGAACTGAGTGGGTAAGTGAGCAAGACTGGGGAAGCTGAGGGGCAGGTTGGGTCTTATGTAAGGCTGACCATTGGCCCCTTTCTCTGGCCCAGGAGCTTGTTGCAGTCAGTCCAGGAGGCCCTGGAGGAAAGGTGAGGGGCCTGTACCTGGGATGCAAAAGGCCTCCAGGCCTGAGGGTCATTCTCATCTCACACTCCATCATGCTATCTGCTGTGTCCCTGTAGGAGCCTGACTATTCGGCCAGCCTTAGAACTCCAGGTGTGGATTAGAAGAGGGAACTGGGAAGTAAGCCGTGTGCACAGGGTGCCTTGGGGCAGAGAGTGCATCACAGGGCACCTTCTGGTGGCCAGACTGTTTCTGACCCTCTTGCCAGGAGCTGGATTCCCCAGATGATGCCATGGGAACCATCAAACGGGCCCCGTTTTTGGGGCTGCCCCATACTGAGCCAACATCTGATGACAATGCCCAGTCCTGCTCCCCAGGTGAGCCCCAGGCTTAGCAGGCCAGGAGGAATTCTGGGGCAGGGCTGAGGCTTGGAGTCACTTTGGTCTGTGTGTA